GTACAATTAGCATTTTAATTTTAGTAATTTTTTTAAAAATTTTCAACTGTCCGGTGATTTTTGATCACCCACTGTACATATGACTCTTCCGAGATTTTCAATTCGACAGAAGAAAAGTGTAATTTTAAAAAACCCAGGAATAATAATTTTAACATTTATTTAATTACTGGCATGGTTAAGACGGAGTATTATTTCAGTACTCAATTTCAAAGAATTAACGTTAATTCTGGTAGAATTATTATTAATTCATTTTATCTCCTTACTGTACTCATTTTGTCTATAACTATTCAATATGCATTCATCAACAGTTACGTTTTCAATAATTCAGGAAAGTTTTAGAATTAAAGTAACTATCATTGAAACCTTGTTAATTTACACAATTTTATTTTATTTAGAAAATTATCGTAACTTATTTTAAAATACGAGGTACATATTTCATCAATAATAAAAATCATTTGTATCATTTATATCTTTAAATTCATTTTATTTCAATTGGTAAAAAAAAATGATTGATGAATGTGAGAAAAAGGATTTTCTTGATTTTTAGAATTTGTAATCAATGTCCATCATTATCAAACCACGTTTTTTTATTAATTTGTAAGCACGGTACGCGTGGCGGGTTAAACGTATCGCATAAGGTTAAAATATAAATTAAATTAACCAAATTTGGATTTCACATTTAACAATGTACATATAAAATATAAGTGTGTAACTTCATTTTAAAATTAAAATTAAAAAAATCATATACGTACCCGGAAGATCAAATTTATAATAATCATTTATCAAAATAGGAATATCAATAATAAAATATTATTATTATTCATAAAAAGTTAGCAAGCAGATAAATTTCTCATTGGTCGAAAATGTCGCGATTATTAGGTTTTGTTCGTGCTTTTCTATGTTCATGAAGTATAAATAAGATGCGACGACGATTTTATTTTATTTTTTTTTTTTGATTAATATATATATATTTAAAAATAAGATACAATCCGACGACAAGACAATATTTCGTTTGATAATATTTTTCAATAAAAAAAAATTTTTGATACAAATTTAAATTTTTTTTTAAAAAATAAAATGGCAAATCCTCCGCACGGTGGGATTCTTAAAGATTTAATACTTCGAGATCAAGATTTACATGATGCTTTACTTGAAGAATCTGAAAATTTACCATTTATTTATTTAACTGATCGTCAATTATGCGATTTGGAATTAATTATGAATGGAGGATTTTCTCCATTAGAAGGATTTATGAATAAAGTAGATTATCAAAGGTGAATTAGTTAATAAAAATAAAAATAACAATTATTATTATTAATAGTTAATAATTAGTGATTAATGATTAATGATAAAAAAATTAATTATTAATTCAATTAACAATTAATTACATATTATCGTATATTATTATAGTGTCGTTCGAACACTTCGACTCAAAAGCGGAATATTATTTTCGATGCCAATTACACTTGATTTATCAGGATCAGAAATCAAGAAATTACAATTGAAACCTGGTAAACGATTGGTTTTACGAGATTTAAGAGATGATAAACCATTGGCAATTTTAACCATTCAAGATATTTATCATCCCAATAAAATCGAGGAAGCAATTTATGTATTTGGTGATAATGATTTGGCACATCCTGGTGTTAAATATTTACATAACGATGTTAAAGAATTTTATATTGGTGGAACGATTGAAGCAATTGATCTACCTACGCATTATGATTACATTGAACATCGATGTACTGTAATCCTATTTATTATTATTATTTATTGATTAGATTTAGTTTTCATCAAATTTATTATTCATTATATTTATCATTCATTATTATTATTATTATTATTATTATTATTTATAGACACTCCAACAGAACTTCGTGCATATTTCAAAAAACTTAATTGGACTCGTGTTGTAGCGTTTCAAACACGTAATCCGATGCATCGAGCACATAGAGAATTAACAGTTCGAGCAGCCCGTAATAGACAAGCAAATGTATTAATTCATCCAGTCGTAGGATTAACCAAACCTGGAGATATTGATCATTACACGAGAGTTCGAGTATATCAAGCTTTAATGCCAAAATATCCGAATGGTATGGCTGCACTTAGTTTATTGCCTTTAGCTATGAGAATGGGTGGACCAAGAGAAGCTTTATGGCATGCAATTATTAGAAAAAATTTCGGATCAACTCATTTTATTATCGGTAGAGATCATGCTGGACCTGGTAAAAATTCTAAAGGAAAAGATTTTTATGAACCATATGATGCTCAGGTAAGAATAACAACAATAATAACAATAATATAATAATAAAATTTAATTAATATTAATAATAATTATTATTATCATTTCTATTATTTTTATTATTACTATAGAAACTGGTGGCGAATTATAAAGAAGAATTACAAATAGAAGTAGTTCCATTCCAAATGGTTACGTATATTCCAGATTCTGATGAATATATGCCAATTGATGAAGTTCCCGAAGGAACCAACACATTAAATATTTCTGGTACAGAATTAAGAAGAAGATTACGTACAGGAGGTCAAATTCCTGAATGGTTCTCATATCCAGAAGTAGTAAAAGTTTTACGTGAAACTCATCCTCCAAGATCTAAACAAGGATTCACTTTATTATTTACTGGATATTATAATTCTGGAAAACGTATAATCGGTAAAGCATTACAAGTTGTACTTAATGAACAAGGTGGCCGATCAGTCACTTTGTTATTAGGAGAAACTGTTCGTAATGAACTTTCACCTGGTAAGAAATATTTTTATCACATTGTTTAATATTATTTATAACATTATTTAATATTATTTATCACATTATTTAATATTATTTATCACATTATTTAATGTTATTTATCATATTTATTAATATTTATAGAACTTGGATTCTCTCGAAAAGATCGAGATCAAAATATTGCACGTATAGGATTTGTTTCATCCGAACTTACTAAAGCAGGTGCGGCAGTTATAGCTACACCAATTGCACCTTATGAAAATGCACGTGCTCAAATAAAACAACAAGTTGAAGCTTACGGAGGATTTTATTTGGTTCATGTTAATACTCCATTGGATTATTGCGTTAAAACTGATCGTAAAAAAATTTACGAGGTAACTTAATTATAATAATAATTATTATTTAAATTATTATATTTATTATAATTTTAATTATTATATATTTATTATAAAATTAATTAGTTATAATATTTATTATAAAATTAATTATTCTAAAATTAATTATTATTTATTATAATATATATTAATTATTTCCTAGCAAGCAAAATTAGGAAAAATCCAGAATTTCACAGGAATAGATGATCAATATGAAGCACCTACTAATGCAGATATTGTGGTAGATGTGAGCAAACAAAGTGTTAGTGAAATTTGTCATCAAATAATTTTATTACTTGAAAAGGTAAATATATTTGAATTTATTCATTGCTTTCAATATTATATATTTATTTTTACATTAATTATTCATCATTAAATTTACATTTATTTTATTTAGGATGGATATGTTGGACAAAGATAATTTAAATAATTTAATAATTAATTATTATTAATTATCAGAATCTTACAAAGATTAAATCTATTATATAAATAAATATTCATTCTAATTTATGTAATTAATTAATTATTCGAAATATATTATAATTAATTAACTCATTACCCTAATTATTATTAATTCACTAATTCGCTAATTTATTAATTCAATAAATACATCATTGTTCATTATAGTTTTTTTTTTAATTATTTTTCAATCCCAAAAAATAAATAATTCCATTCCAAATTTTAGAAATTAATAATTCTTCAACATTTATAACGGTTTCAATGGGGTCGTTATCAATGTAATCATTTAAATTAATCGAATTTGCTTTTCCTCCATTAGCAATTACATTTTCATATATTTTTTCGGCTTCTGGTAAGAGAGCATCTAAATATTTTGCTCGAACCGCTTCAATTGGATGAGATGCGAAAAATTTATTTATGTTTTCTAATATTATTGGTTGATTTGTTGTTGTTGATGGTGTATTTGTTAATTCTATTGTTGTATCTGATGTCGTCGTTGTTGTTGCTGGATCTGATATCGAAGGTAAAACCAAAACTTGTTGTTCTTGTTCTCCATTGGAAATTGATTTTATTTGTTCATTAATAATTGAAAGAAATTTCCATAATTCTATTGCTCTTTTAGGATGATAACCTGATAATGCCATTAATTTTAATCCTATTATATCCGCTTCTTTTTCTACTTTTTGATTATATCTACCTGATGAATATGATCCTATTAAATCTTGTGTCGCCTTATTTAAATAATCATTTATTAATGGTCCAAGCGATGATAAAACTGGCCACCATAATAATGTACGGATTGTATCTATTATTATTTATTATTATTATTATTATTATTATTATTATTATTATTATTATTATTTTAATAAATTATTATTATTAAAGAATTATTATTATAGAATTATTATTATAGAAATTATTATTATAGAAATTTTTATTATAGAAATTATTATTATAGAAATTACCTGTTATAATGTACATCACTTGATTAAATCCAAGTGCTTCACTTGCATGTCGTTGAAGAACATGTCCAATTTCATGAGCCAAAGTAACTGATAAATATTCTTCATTATAATCAATTACCTTTAACCATCCTATAATATATATTATTCAGATTATTATATTTTATTAAATTAAATATAAAAAAATATTGTAGATAGATTATTAAATAATAAATAATATTTACCGGTAAATACAATTATTTTTTTTGATACTCCAAATGAAACAGCATTAAGGACTGAATCATCTTCCACAACAAATATCTCAAAATTATCAGGTTTATTAGTTTCATCATCATCACTATCTTCTAAAGATTCTACTATCTTATTGTTCTTGGAATTCCGATTATTATTATTATTATTATTATTATTATTGTCATAATTTTTCAATGTCATTAAATCTTCATTTAATCCTTTTAATAAATTATTTGTCACATGTTTAACCAAAATTGTTTCGATTCTATCATTGGATAAAATTTTATCTTGATATTTTTCCCTCTCCGCTAAATATGCCGCATTACATATTTCTTTTTCTTCTTCTAATGACATAAATCGAAACCTCCATCGATTTGTATGTGGGGCTTGTTCTAAACCTAATAATAATAATATTCCAAATCCCGTTAATGGTATAACTGTTGTAAGGAATAAAAGTAATCGTCGTGGTTGACCGGTTTTTGGATTTTTTATTAATGCTAATGGAAGAAATGATAATAATAAATTACTAAATGTACGTATTAATAATGCGGCGTTTGCTGACTTGAATAATATGAGAAATGCTGGTAACGGTGCATAAGTTGGTCGAGTGCTATGAAAATTTCGTAAATTATGTCTAGAAATTGTATTGATTGTTGTGAATATTTTGGATGTATTAGATATTTTAAATATTTTGATTTTAAACGTTTGGGGCGAAAATAATGTCTTGTGATATTTATGATATCCTTGTATCCTTTGAAAATTATTAAATTTTGAAATAATTTTATTATCAAGACTCCTAAAACTTCCTCTTATTACTCCTACTCCTACTCTAATAGATGTATAAAAATTTATCATTATTTTTTTTTTTTTTAAAAAAAAAAATGGATTACATATAAAAGTTTGTTTTTAATATAAACACATATATGCATAATATGCATATGACTTACTGAAATTGGACGTTGCACAGAAATCTGTCATTCATATAATATAATAAACGTTTGTTTCTAATATAAAAAAATCGTTGCACAAAATGTTCATTTTATTTTTTGATTAAATTAAAATTCCCAGAGGACATTAACATTAACTCCTGTGTGATAATGTTCCGAATTACATTACACAAATAATTATCTCGGTAACGTAAAATTTCTATGTCGAATTGGCAGATCATATATATTTAATTACAATATTTTTTGTATCGTACACAATATACAGTAATTACATTCGAAATTATTATTTGAATATGCCTGACGATTATCGCAGTTATCTAAATTGTAGCAAAGAAATAAATGTTACAAGACAATTATGTCAACAGTGTTTTAATTGGATTATAACAATGCTACTAACAGTGTCACATTCAAGTAAAAGATATCCTTTATCACTAGAATAGAATTCATTTGATAATCTTCTGTCAATATTTTAATATTGGTGGAGAAAATATATCGTTTTAAATATATTGTAAAAGGTTTTGATTTTGTGATTTTGTTCAAACTTATTTTATCAAAGGAGCAGAGTCAATTATAAGAAATCATAAATTACTAGAATGGCTTCCATTTGGTAATTTTGATGTGTTAAATATTGTGGTTTTAGTCAAATTTACAATAGACAGTGTGTACAACAAGTTGTTTTAAAAGTTTTAAATAATACCCATAAGGTGGATACGGGATTTAATTTTTTATTTTTATTGGTATTTACGGTGTCTTATTCTAAAAATTTTAAAATATATTTAAAAATTTACCTATAATTCGTTGAATTTTAATTAAATTCTATGGCGTTAACTCAAGATCCTAAAACTAAGAATTATGCATTAATTTTTAGAACATGCAAAAGATAGAAATTTATATCATTTTTTAAGCAAAAATTTTAAAGAGTGAGAAAAATGGATTTATTTTATAATATTATTTCGGGGGGGGGATATTGTTTCATATATAGCATCAGAAATTCTTAAGGGAAAAATAATCCTAATTTAGATAAATATGATATTTTCCTAAAACATTAAAATAAAATAAACTTTGTAAAAATCCAGGATACGAGCATCCGAATTCTAGATGTTATAGTTTCTCATTAGACTCTATGTTAGAATCTATCAATTCAGGTATTTAATAATATATTTTTTTTTTTTTTATAAAAATTATCACATCTCATTAAACATTAATATATAATTTCTATAGATCAATAATTTAATAAATAATTCCGAAAATTCGAATCTGAGCGACTTTCAAAAAATTCATTTTTTAGGCAAATTATCACAAGGAAAACAAGGAAAAATCAAAGTAACATTTTTAATATTATTGAATATTTTTTTTAAATATTTTTTAATATTTTATTTATTGAATTTATATAAACTGGTGAATAAAAGGTCTTAATGAATTTATATTTTTATTTTAACGGATATCACGTTTTATTATTGAATTTTAATATTTCTTTGGAATGACTTAAATTTTTATTTAATGCAATTCATCTTCAGAACAAGCATGAATGTTGGTAGGTCTGTCGAAAGCAATTGCTTCAGTTCACGTTTTATCGATTTTGTTCAATCAGTTACATAGGATTCGCGTCACGTTTGTAGTAGTAGTAGGGGTTAGGGAATGCCTCTGCTTCAGCGTCACGTCTCATCATAGGTAGATCTGCTTCTGCTTCAGCGTCACGTCTCATCATAGGTAGATCTGCTTCTGCTTCAGCGTCACGTCTCATCATAGGTAGATCTGC